CCTCTTTGCCAAGCAAATATGGAATCTGTATTATTGTTGGAGTGATTCATTGATTCTCGAAGAATCTCTTTAGCTATCTTCAATCAATTCGTCTCCAGGTAAGAGATAACTCTCTAATTTCTTTTAATTCTCAAGTAGTAGAGAGAACCCATTGACTTCAATTTGATCTTCGTTTCGTTAATCTGCAGATTCGAGAACTCAGGTTCAATGGCCGGAGTTAGGTTATCGCTTCTTAGGTCACTTCACAGATCAGTAAACTCCTCGTCTTGTAAACCTCATCATCAAGCTCAAGTTCGCAGGTCTTATTCGCGACTAACTGAGCCGCGACCTGCAAATTCATCATCTCCGGTGTTTTCTGGTTTCCAGAAGAAGGAGCCTTACGCTTCTTTCAATCTCCTAAATTCCCATGTCAGGGCATTTAGTTGCGGATTTCCTCTCGATGGAGTGTCTCACAAATCGAAACGTTCTTCTCCTTCGGTTGTCTCTTTTTCCTCGAATCTGCGTCTGCTTAATGCTAAGCCTTTCTATTACTCGACCCCTCTATTAGGTCATTCATCTTATACACGAGCTTTTAGCACGAAACCTGATGATCTCGGAAGTATTGTAGCCTCTGGTGCTACTGGTGATGGGAATGGCATTGATTGGGTTGAGAAGGCTAAGGATGTGTTGCACACTAGTGTAGATGCTGTTACTGAAACTGCAAGGAAGGCTAGAGAAGCCTCTGATGAGTTGACTCCTCATGTGCAGCAATTGCTAGACTCGAATCCGTATCTTAAAGATGTCATTGTTCCCGTCAGTCTTACCATGACTGGTACTTTGTTTGCTTGGGTAGTGATGCCTAGTGTTTTGAGGAGGTTTCACAGATACGCAATGCAAAGCTCGGCTGCTTTGCTTCCCGGAGACCTCTCAAAGGAAGATGTTCCATATGAAAAAAGCTTTTGGGGCGCTTTGGAGGATCCAGCGCGTTACTTAGTGACCTTCATGGCTTTTGCACAAATGTGAGTTGCTTTAATGAACTGATGGATCCGAGTAACAGCTGCAAATTATGTTACGGTAAATAAAATTGTATGATGATTGATATTGATTGTGATATACAGTGCCGCGATGGTGGCGCCAACAACGGTAGCAGCTCAGTACTTTTCCCCAGCACTGAGAGGAGCAGGCATCCTCTCGTTTGTATGGTTCCTACATCGGTGGAAGGGCAATGTGATTTCCCGAATGTTGTCTGCTAAGAGTGTTGCCGGGCTAGACAGGGAGAAGATATTGACACTGGACAAAGTATCATCAGTTGGTCTTTTTGCAATAGGTTTGATGGCTACGGCGGAAGCCTGTGGGGTAGCTGTTCAATCTATCTTGACAGTTGGTGGAGTGGGAGGTTTGTGCACTGTCTTCATTTCAATTTAGTTGTTTTTGCTCAGCCTGTTATGATAACTGCTAGGATTTAACAGAAAAAGGTCTAGCGTTTCGTAGATGTCGTATTGATTGTATAATAATTGCTCGTAACTCATTGATTTTGATTTGTGTCGTGTAGGAGTTGCCACTGCTTTCGCTGCGAAAGATATCCTTGGTAATGTTCTGAGTGGTTTGTCAATGCAGTTTTCAAAGCCATTCTCGATGGGAGATACCATCAAAGTTAGTTGAGCATGAAAATCTTTTCCGTTATTTGCTCTTTTACTCACTTTTTTTTTTTTAATGTTTCCTAGAGCATGCAAATCATATTTTCCTCAAGATATAATGTCTTCCTTGTTCCTACATTATAGGCTGGGTCTGTTGAAGGTCAAGTTGTTGAGATGGGACTCACAACAACATCTTTGTTGAACGCTGAGAAATTTCCGGTTTCGGTACCCAATTCACTGTTTTCCAGTCAGGTTAGTTTATCGTTTATCGCGTCATTCATCTTCATGTTGCAGAAGCTTGGAATCACATTTTCAGTATTTCATGTGTATAGATGATTGTGAACAAGTCACGTGCTCAGTGGCGAGCCATAGCATCCAAGATACCACTGCAAATCGATGATTTGGATAAGATTCCTGATATATCAAATGAAATCAAGGAAACGTTGAGATCAAACACAAAGGTTTACTTAGGGAAAGAAGCTCCTTACTGCTACTTATCTCGAGTGGAAAAATCCTTCGCTGAACTCACCATCGGGTGCAATCTCAAATACATGGTACTATCTTTAGTATTTGTAACTTTGTTTTCAACATTTTAAATTCATTAGGCCATCAATCACTAACAGTAATACAATTGTTTGCGGTCAAATTTGGAAAAAGATTGTGCTTTATGCAATGAATTTACATTTACATACATGGTAATGATTGATTTCAGGGAAAAGACGAGCTATACACTACACAACAAGAGGTACTTCTTGAGTCCGTTAAGATCATAAAGAAGCATGGTGCATCGCTCGGTACCACCTGGGACAATTCACCATTTTGACTGATCATTTGGTGGAAATGAAGAATTAGAATGATGATCAAGAAATCTATTTTGCCAGATGAATCCAGAAACCTATGTTCTTGGGTAATTACGGAAAAATTCGTGTTGAGTTTTTTTTTTTAGGAATCAAGAGAAAAAACGAGTTCTGTGTACAGCAAAAACCGAAATCAATACATGTGGATTTTTTGTTTGTGTTAAACAGAAGATTGTGCTTTTCACGTGTGTTTTGCAGTGCATGATCAACAATTCATTTCTCTTTTTCAGAACTCGTTTGTTTATCTGGCGATTCGATGAATGTTGTGTCCAACACACAGACTTGATGAGTGAGTTACTATTATAGATATTTTTAGAAAGTAATATCCAATATAACGCACTATCTTACACCTAAACATTTTTCCTCTATCAATTGTCAAAAATACCCTTAACTTAATAATTCAATCATCAAACTATTAACCCAATCCAATATATTTTATTAACCATAGTTTACC